AAGGCAGAAAGACGATGAGCTTGTGAGAGTCATCGGCAAATGTACCGAGCTCGAGGGGGCTCTCAAGATTAAGTTGGACGAGATCAAAGTGAACAAGGGGCTCGTGGCTGAGTGTGTCGATCTCCAAGGGGGTCGTGGCTGAGTGAACAAGGGGGTCGTGAAAGTGGCAGAGTCGGAGATGGTCGAGGAGGCCAGGGTGGCGGATTTGGCCAAGGTGGCGGCATTGGAGGATGCTATTCGTGTCCTTAGATTTGAGCGGGAAAATGATGCTGAGACAGTTGCACTCAAGGAGGTGAGGTCTAACGAACGGATTGGTGGTCTTTTGAAAGATATTTTGGACCTAAAGAAGCAGATCGTCGTTCTTGAGGCCGAGAAGACGTAGATGTTGGCTCGATCGTCTTCATCTCATGCTTCCCCTTATCCCGATGTTTCGTGGGATTCGTACGAGAAGTGGATTCATGCTGAGGCTCAACTAGACATATTCAAGGGCTTGATGACGGTGGGGAGGGCTTCTGAGGCCAAGTTCAAAGACGTTCATGCTAAGGCACGCTCAGCTCGGGTCGCTTGTGGTTACGATCCTGCTACGTCGGGGACTGGTTATGGTGAAGATGGTTTGGATGGGCTTGAGTCAGGTGCTTGGTACGATGATGAATACTCCGATGGCAAGGGCGATGGTGGAGATGATGCTGGGGGCGATGCTGCCGAGTAATATTTTAGTAGTCTTTGTTTGTCTTTTCTCTTTTTTGTGGGCGTCTTTCTGGCCCTTTGTAAGATATTTTTTTGGAATGAAATGATCATAACCCTTTGTTGTACGTTACCGGGTCTTTTATTTTTCTTCGAATGTTTTCCTTCAAATAGTTGCTTTAGAAGAGTTATCGGCATGTGTTATCTCGAACATGGTCGAGTATATCTTTGATTGGATCTGGGTGGAGTCCCATGTCGTCATGATTTACTCAAACGAAGTTAACTTGTCAGTCAAACTTAAGTCCGGTTGAGTATGAGTTGAATTCGGGCATGGTCGAATACAATTCTTTCCTAATTCGAATGAGGACGATTTGCGATAATTCGAGCAAGGTCGAATGTATTTCGTAATTAATTCGAACGAGGACGAATGTCACTAATTAATTCGAACAAGGTCGAATGTGAGTTAATTCGAACGAGGTCGAATGTTACTTTAATTAATTCGAACAAGGTCAAATGTGAGTTAATTCGAGCGAGGTCGAATGTTGACTCTTTGTTGATTCGAACGAGGTCGAATGTGAGTCGATTCGAGCGAGATCGAATGCTGACTCTTAGTTGATTCGAATGAGGTCGAATGTGAGTCGATTCGAGCAAGGTCGAATGCTGACTCTTAGTTGATTCAAACGAGGTCGAATGTGAGTCAATTCGAGCGAGGTCGAATGCTGACTCTTAGTTGATTCGAACGAGGTCGAATGTGAGTCTATTCGAGCGAGGTCAAATGCTGACTCTTAGTTGATTCGAACGAGGTCGAATGTGAGCCAATTCGAGCGAGGTCGAATACTGACTCTTAGTCGATTCGAATGAGTTCGAATGTGAGTTGATTCGAGCGAGGTCGAATGCTGACTCTTAGTTGATTCGAACGAGGTTGAATGTGAGTCAATTCGAACGAGGTCGGTGTGAGTCGATTCGAACGAGGTCGAATGTGAGTCAATTCGAGCGAGGTCGAATACTGACTCTTATCTGATTCGAACAAGGTCGAATGTGAGTGCATTGATTGGCGTGGAGTTAAAAATTGGCGGAGACAGGCGAGAATCATGTGTTTGTATGCTTTGCTTTCATATATATATATATATATATATATATATATATATATATATATATATATATTGGAGTAGTTTAGACGCTTTACGGGCTGGTATTCTAGTCCCAGTCTATCTAGTCCCTTTATTGTTCGGCCTGGAGAAGTATTCGAGGGGTCGAGCAATGAACTTGCCAACTTGCAATCGAACCTGCTCGAGCCTTAAACTTTGAGATGTCCTCCTTGTCGCCTCGTTAAAAACCTCACCAAGAAAACCCAATTGGGACAAAACTCAGGTGAGGGAAAAAGAGTACGGCTCGGAGAACATCTTTCCTTAGAAGTTGAAGTACTTGAGGCGGGCGATGTTCCAGTTGTTTGGTAATAGCTTCCCCTCCATCGTTTCTAGGTTGAATGACCCTTTGCTTTCTCCTCCGTGATTTTATATGGGTCATCTCAATTAGTCTCTAGCTTTCCGTCTCGAGGGTCTTTGCTTGCCTGTGTTTTGGCTTTAAGTACGTAGTCTCCGGATTTGAGCGGTCTGATCTTGGCTTTTTGTTGTAGTATCATTCTGCCTGTTGTTTCTGAGCGACCGTCCTTATGTAAGCCATGTCTCTTTGTTCCTCGACCTCATCGAGATCTTTCTTCCTGCTCTCGCCGTTTGTCGGCCCGTTCTTATGTGAGTACCTTATGCTTGGTTCTCTGACCTCTACCAGTATTACTGCATCATTCCCATAGACCAGTGTGTACGGTGTTTCCCCTGTGCTTGTAACTGGCGTTGTGCGGTCTGCCCATAGCACTTCCGGCAACAACTCTGGCCACAGTTTCTTGGTGTTCTCGAGCTTCTTCTTCATGATATTCAATATCGACTTGTTGGAGGACTCTGCTTGCCCATTGCCCGCGGGGTGATATGGCGTGGATAGTATTCTTTTGATGTGCCATTTCTCGAAGAACTCGACGATCTTTTTTCCAGTAAACTGATGCCCGTTGTCACAAGTGATTTCTTTGGGGAGGCCGAAATGGCACATAATATTTCTCCATATGAAGGTGATAACTTCTTGCTCGCGCATTTGGGTGAACGCACCTGCTTCCACCCACTTGGAAAAATAGTTAGTTAAAACTAAAAGAAAGCGTACATTACCTTGTCCTGCTGGGAGGGGTCCAACGATGTCCATCCCCTATTTGGTGAAAGGCCAAGGCGAGGTGACTGAGTGGAGGTGTTCGCCCGCTTGGTGGATCATGGGGGCGTATTTTTGGCATTGTTCACATTTTCTTACGAAGTCGGCGTCCTCTTTTTTCATGGTGGGCCAGTAGTAACCTGCTCGTATGAGGCATCTGACAAGAGCTCGATTACCGGTATGAGCTCCGCAGTGACCTATACGAACTTCCTCGAGGACGCGCCGCGTCTGGTTGGGCCTAAGCATTTTTTCGGGGGGGTGGGGGGCACCATACGTTCTTTTATACAAGTCGTTGTTGATGACATTGTACCTGGCCGCCTGCATTCGAAGCATTTTGGCTTCTTTTTTATCGTCTGGAAGCACTCTGTCCTGCAAATATGTGACAACACGATTGCGCCAGTCCCAAGTTAGATTTATGGTTCGTACCTCGGTTTGATCGATCGATGAGTGGAGGAGAGTGACCATGTTTCCTTCTCCGGTTATGCTTTCGGTTACCGTCGCCAATTTGACAAAACCGTGCGCTTTGATATTCTGCGGTTTTTGGTCAAGCCGACATTCATCGAACTCGGGTAACAGTTTGCATATTTTGGCCAGGTATTTCTGTAGCCTCTGCTTCTTGATTTGGAAAGTCCCTGTGACTTTATTGAGGACGAGTTATGAGTCGCATCGGAGGACTACCCTTCGTGCTCCGTACTTGAGTGCCAATTTGAATCCTGCAATCACGGCCTTATACTCGGCCCCATTGTTAGTCATATTAGGGCACTGTATGGACTGGTGAATTGTTTCGCCTATTGGGACCTCGAGCACGAGTCCCAATCCAGATCCTGACACGTTTGAGGCACCATTGGTGTACAGAATACATAGGTCGTGTATTTTGGGGAAGTATTGGCGGCTTCCCTTTTGACTTTGGGCATTATTTTTGCACTGAAATCAGCGACGAAGTCGGCAATTACTTGCGACTTTATCGCCGTTCCCGGCTAATAGGTTATATCGTGCTCGCTCAGTTCTATGGCCCATTTGGCCAACCTACCCAACAGCTCGGGTTTGTGTAGGATACTCCTTAGAGGAAAGTCATGACCATTGAGATGAGATGGCACTGGAAATAGGGTCTAAGCTTTCGTGAAGCTATGACCAGGGCATGGCTAGCTTCTCGAGGTGCGGGTACCTCATTTCAGCGTCAATCAAAGTTTTGCTAATATAGTAGATTGGAGATTGCGTACCTTTGTTTTCTCAGACTAGGACCGCACTCACGGCCACGTCCGACAAGGCCAGGTAGACGAGGAGACACTCACCACGTTCGACCTTGACGAGTAGTGGAGGAGAAGATAAGTATGCCTTTAATTCTTTCAAGACTTCGACACATTCGGAGTTCCATCGGAGTCCATTGTCTTTCTTGAGTACGCTAAAAAATTTATGGCATCTATCGGAGGATCGTAAGATGAACCTCAACAGAGCGGCTATGCAGCCGGTCAGCTTCTGTACTTGTTTCTCACTAGTCAGGTTCTCCGGTATTCCTTCTATAGCTTTGCTTTGGTCGTGGTTGACCTCGATGCCTCGTTTTGATACCAAGAAACCGAGGAACTTTCCCGAGGTTACTCAAAAGGCGTACTTTTCGGGGTTCAATTTCATAATGTATCGTCTGAGTATGTCGAAGGCCTCTCTTAAATGGTCGATGTGATCCTCCTTTCTTTTCAAATTGACCAACATGTCATTGATATAGACTTCCATTGTTTTGCCAAGCTTGTCTTTGAACATTTTTCTCACCAACTTCTGATACGTTGCCCCTGCGTTTTTCAGTCCGAAAGGAATCACTCTGTAGCAGTACGTTCCCTGATGGGTAATGAAGGTGGTTTCTCCTGGTCTTCCTCTTCTCTAAGGATCTGGTTATAACCCAAGTACGCATCTAGGAAGCCGAGTAGTTCGTGACCGGCCGTTGCATCAATGAGTTGATCGATATGAGGAAGTGGAGACGAATCCTTCGGGCAGGCTTTGTTTAGGTCTGTGAAGTCCACGCACATCCGCCACTTCCCGTTCTTCTTTTTCACCATAACCACATTGACGACCCACTAAGGATACTCTCTGATGGAGCCGTTTTCCAACAACTTCTCTACCTCTTCGCAGACTGCGTCATTTATGGCGGCGTTGAATTTCTGCCTGATTTGTCTCACCGAGGGTGGAATGGGTCGACATTCAGTTTGTGTGTTGCTATCTCCTTTTGGATACCTGGCATGTCTGCATGGGAAAAAGCAAACAGGTCTACGTTATTTTTTAAAAATTTATGGAATTTACCTAGTTCCTGGAGCTTGTGGCCGATGAAAGCTTTCTTGTTGTGGTCGTTATCATCGGGTTGGACGGGGTCGAGGTCTTCTATGATAGATCCTGCATCTTCTACGACTTTGGGATCTTTGATCACATCTTTTTCGTCCCTGCTCGGCCTCGACCCTATTGATTTCTATGCTTCTTTAGCTTTACCTTTCAGTTGTTGGATGTGTGTGCAGTCTTGGGCGATGCGATAGAATTCCTGGACAGTGCGTTGTTCTCCTCGAATGTTGAATACCCCCCAAGTTGTGGGAAATTTGACGACTTGATACAAGCTGGAAGGGACGGCTTTCATGAAGTGTATCCAAGGTCGGCATATGATGGCGTTGTATGCCATATCCTTGTCCATGATGTGAAAAGTGGTCTCCAAAGTGACGCCGCCGGCCAGAACGGGCAGTGTGATTTTTCCGGATGTCCGCTCAATTGCATTGTTAAATCCCGTCAGTATTATACAGTGTGGCACTATCCTATCCTCGAGCTTCATTTGTGCGAGAACTCGAGGGCAGATGATGCACGCGCCACTCCCATCCACAACCATAATACGCTTTACATCAGTATCTAAAATGCATAAAGTAATGACAAGTGCGTCATAGTGAGGAAAGACAAAACTGTGGGTATCCAACTTATCGAAGATGATAATTTCTTCGAGTTCATCGTACCGTCCATGAGTGATCGATCGTTTGAGTTTGTGGGTGGTAGTGAACTTAACGCTGTTGATCGATGCATCGTCACCCCCTCCGTTGATCATTTGAATGGTTCGAGCTGGGGAAGGTGGTTTGGGAGGTCCCTGGTGCAATTCTCTTCCTCGGGCGAAGTTGGCTCTCTCTCGGCCGCTCATAAGTTCTTTCAAGTGTCCTTGGTGAAGCATGTTCATGACCTCTTGTCTTAGGGCGATGCAGTCCTCAGTTTTGTGACCGCGCTCCTAGTGGACTTTCTGGTGCTCGGGTCGGACCTCATCTTCTGTGGCCACTTCACTTTTGTGCCTAGCTTCTCTAGTGCGTAGACTATTTCTGATGGGGAAACACAGAAATTGTGAGCAGATAGCAAAGGGGGCATACCTCTCTCGCTTCGGTGGGTTCCTATTCGTGGCCTGAACGGGTCGTCATCATGGCGAGGGGGCGGCATGAGGGTTCCTCTAACGTAGGGCTGATGTATTTCTCGATTAGGTCGAGTTCCTACTAGAACTCTCATGTTGTCGTTTCTCCGGTCCTTTCTGGACTCGGCTTGTACCGAAGTTAACCATTGGGTTGGCCCATTTAGATCATCTTCATCAGCTCGAACTTTGGCGCAATAAGCATTGTATATTTCATCCCAAGTGGGGATATTTTATGAGGCGGCTCAGTAGTTTTCTGGTCGCCCTCGAACCGTTTCTGTTCAGCCCATTTTAGAAGGCTGCCACGGCCATTCCTTCGGATACGTTTGGTAAGGTCATCCTTACTCTGTTAAATCGAGCAAGGAAGTCCCTTAGTCCCTCTTCGGGTGATTGTTTGATGGAACATATGTCATTTACTCTTGCCTCTGCCTTTTTCGCTTCGGCATGGGCCGTTACGAATTTGTCGGCCATCTCTTCTAATATCTCAATCGAGTGTGCGGGCAGTTATGAATACCAAGTGAGTGCGCCCCCGGTGAGGGTTTCGCTGAAATTCTTTAATAAGATGGACGATACTTGCTCTTTGGCGAGGTCGTTGCCTTTTACTGCGGTGACGTAATGAGTCACATGATCTTCAAGGTCCATTGTGCCGTCATATATTTTTAGGTACGGTGGCATTTTGAAGGTTTTGGATATTGCATGTTGTGCAGCTTCGTCGATGTATGGCTGCTCAATAAACCGACCGGCGTCCCTTTTTGGTTGGAGTTTTGGGGCGCCCTGTATTTTGTCTACCCTTTATTGATGTTCTTTCATTCGGTCGCGGAGCATTTTGTTCTCGTTCTCCATCTCCTCCATTTTCCTTAGAATGGTTGTGAGGGTTTCGTTACTTGCACCACAAACATTATGAGTAATACCTGTTGTAGGGGGCGTGTTGCTCGTATGTCGCTGACGCAACGCCAACTCCTGCATCTTCTTGGTTCGACCTTTGAGCGGGCTTGTCGAGAATGCTGGTCAATGTGCTCGTCAACCATGCCTCGAGCAGCTTTCTCACTACCGGTAGTGCCTTTTCCATCGTGGACGTAGAGGCCCCTTTTTCATGTGAGGCTGTGATGCTGCCTTGAGGAGGGGGTGAGCTGTTTCGCTTGGGAGAGGTATCTGGTGTTATGTTTTCACCCTCCGTTTCATTGATTTAGTTGATGGTGTGGAGGAGGTTGGTGATGAGGTCGGCTATTGCTTTACTCTTTTCCTCTCTGTTGCCTGCCACGTTAGATTTGTGTACACAAGTGTAGGTTCTTTGCATTTTTTTAGGTCTAGAAGAAACTAAAATTTTAACTAGAAAGTCCCTACAAACGGCGCCAAATTGTTTGACCAAAAAGTATGACACCTTTTGTTAAACCGATTAGACAAGAAGATAACGGGTAAATCCTAGTGAAGGATAATAATTCCAGATCTGGGATGGATAACATGAATAGAAAATGTAGTTGAGTGTAAATGCTGGCAGTAATTATGGTCGGATGTAATAGTATGTGGAAAGTCTATGCATAAATAACTTTAAATGGCAATAAATGTTAATAGAGGGGAAGATTCACCCAATATTGAAGAGGGTGAAGGATTCTTTCCTCTGACAATGACGAGTGATACGAGTGTTAAAGAATATTATACTCTTTCTTGGATATGATGGGAATGACAATAGAATGCTTCACAAAAAGGTGGAATCTCTATTAAAAGTGGTTCTTTGTATTGTCACCGAATGCTTATCCTTATACCAATGTTCTCAAAATCCAATCCTCTTTCCTCCTTATCTCTATTACTCTCTCTCTCTCTTTATATATATATATATATATATATTCTAATTATAGAACATAGAACAACACCAAAGGCAAATAAATGAACCTAGATGATATCATGAGTGGAGTATTTAAACGTGATGTTTCGTTAAGCTTTCCCTTAGAAAAAATTCTATTAAGGCAGATTCATGCCAAAAGGGGGCAAAAGATAGGGCCTTTACATACTAATTCCCTTATGACCGTTAACTCAAGACCTTTGGAATCTGAACACATATATGATCTATTGAAACTGTAAACTTGTGGATACACTTTTCTTAACGTATGACATATAAGCTTCTATGAAAGGGAGTCTAACATCATCGACAAGCACAAGGAACTCTACATTGTGCTATGGAAACTTGATACTTATAAAGAGACTAGGTCGTCTGAACATAATGCATAAGAATCCTCAATGGCGATATGAGTAGAGCAACCTTTTATACTAATAGACAATCTATGACACTTCACAATATTGCTTAAATGATCTTATTCTCCGAAAAAACCCTAGAACATCTATTTTGATACAGTTCATCTTAAGTAGAGTGCTATATCTCAATGATGGTAATCCTGGAGGCCAACGATATTATTCATCTTACATAAGATCTATAATCCATAACCGTCACATAAGGCTAGTAACACCATTCATCTTAAGCATTACACCATAACCCAATAATCTAGAACTGTCGATACAATTTACCTTATGTAGAGATCTATAACATATCAACGATCACCTTAAAGCTATGATATGATTCATCTTAGATAACGTACTATAACCCATTACCAATAACCGACAATCTATCAACAATATTCTGCTATAACCCATAAATGGTCGCTTGCAGGATACCGGCGTGATTCATCTTAATAAGAACTTACAACCCATCGATGATTGAAAAAAATTATTAATAAAATTTAGCTTATGTGACAATCTACATCCTGATAAGGATAGTCCTAAACTATCCATATGATTTAACTAATGTAACACCCTATACTCCATTAGCAATACTTTGGAAGCCATCATTATAATTCATCTTAAATAGGCTACCCTAATCCTATAACGGTAATACATAACCTCTCGATATGATTCACCTTAACTCGGAACTATAATCCATCATCGAACAACTAAAGCTCCTTATCAAATTCATCCTACTTAACGTACTGTTACCACATATCACTAATCTGGAAACTATCGATGTAATTTACCTTAAGTAGGAATTATAATCCATTAATGATACTTTAGGAGCCATTCATACATATAATCCTCAATGGGACCTATGAGCCATTGACAAACATCTGAAACTACTCACATGATTCATCATTTATAATGCTTTAAAGCCCCTCCACAATACCTTAGAAACCATCTATATCATTCATCTTAAGTATGATTTACGACCATTTAACAATAGTTTAGAAACGTGTAGACTTAGTAACATTAGAAGCTAGATCACTTTCAAGATCTTGGTAACCAAAGAGGTACGATAACTATAGAATGTTCTTCAATAATAAGAACATGATGCTTACAAAGGGACTTGGTTACCGAGACCTAACATATAAGAAAATTAGTAACAATAAGAATAGGACCGTCCTTTGTACGAATGGAAAGTCTATGATACTTGACAATGATGCTTGAATGCTCTTACATTCTTAAGAATCTGAGAACAACTATTTAATTACAATTCAGTTTAGTGAAGTACTATAAGCCCCAATAACAGTAATTCTGGAAAGCTTAATTTTATGAATAGAACAACCATATTAAGTATCGACTTATAAGCACATGGCGTATCTCTTACTCAACTTATAGAACCTATGACATGTAGTAGATATGCTTTCGTAAACTTTAGACTTCATAGCTCATATAGAGAAACAATAAGCGGAAGTCGTGCTATAGCGGCGAAAGAAAGAATAGCCTTACATTCCTCGATCCTAATAGATGTCATATTACGACGATCAAGATGCTCCTTTACAGCTTCGATCTATAATAATAATAATAATAATAATAATAATAATAATAATAATAATAATAATAATAATAATAATAATAATAATAATAATAATAAAAGAAACCTCATGTTAGCAACAAAAAACCATTCAAGCCATTCGATCAATTCGTCGAACATTTGGTCGGCGTAATGTTTTAAGTCCCTTATATAATGGTGTTTCAACTTACTCTTACTTTCTTCTAACTTACAAAAATACACAAACCCCCTTACGAGGTGTAATGACCCGACCAGTCATTTTGCGTATTTGAGCCCTGTTTCCATTTTGAAGCCTCCCGTATGTGTAATTGTGGTTATATAACTTGTAGGGATGGTTGGTTGGGTTTCGAGGAGGTTTATATGTTTGGAAGTTTAAGTTGGAAGTGTTGACCAAGTTTGACATTTATGAAAACGACATCGAAACGATGTTTTGATGGTCCCAATAGTTTGTATGGTAATTTTGGACTTAGGCGTATGTCGCAAATTGATATAAAGGTTCGTAGGATGAAATGGATCTTTTTGTCGAAAGTTAGTAATTTGAAGGTTTAGAAAATTTCCTAAGTTTGACCATGGGTTGACTTTGTGGATTTCGGTTCGAATTTTGGTTTCGAGACTTGGAATAGGTCTATTTTATTATTCGAAACTTGTGTGCAAAGTTTGGTATCATTCCGAGTTGGTTTAGTAGGACTCGGACACTTTGTTGTGATATTAGAAGTTCTTGAGTTTCATTATGAATTCGATGCATTTTGGTATTCGATTCGTAGTTCTGGATGTTATTTTGGTATTTTGAGCTCGCGAGCAAATTCATATGATGTTTCTAGACTTGTGTTGATATTTGATGTGGAGCCATGGGGCTCAGGTGAGTTTGGACATGTTTCAGAATGTTTTAGACTTATTTTAGTTTTTCTAGTGTGCTGGTGTTGAGGTCTCGCAAATGCGAGAACCAGTTCGCATTGGTGAGCCTCGCACTTGCGAGGTACCATTC